ACTTCATCGATCTGCCTGTTCTGCTCCCCACTCTGTCTCTGGTGAATCCTCTCACCCTCCGCATCTCTGGCCTGTACCCCAGTTCTGTATGAATAAATAAATAAATCTTTAAAAAAAAAACAAAAACAAAAACAAATGGTGGCCCTCCCTGGTGGCGGAGCAGGTTACTTAAGCCACTTCCGCATGAATTCGATCCCCGCCTGCCCCAGAGGAGATCCACATGGCAGACCTCTCCTGACCTGCCCGCTGCTCCCCTCAGCAGTGTACTTCGTCGATCTGCCTGTTCTGCTCCCCACTCTGTCTCTGGTGAACCCTCTCATTGCCTCTGCACCTGTGCCTTTCAACCCTGTTCTGTATGATACATAAATAAAATCTTTTTCAAAAAATAGAATAACTCCAACCTCAAACTCTTATCTTACTCAACTACTACCTTGAAAAACTACTGACTGACAAGAACTGGTTCCCAGATAGACACGTCCTCTCCAGGAACTTGCAAAGATCATTTTCATTCTTTTTCTTCCCTCCATAGTAACCGGCTTGATTGACCACCAGTTGACCAGAAGGAATGTGATCTGTAACCACTCCTAGCTATTAGCCAGTTCTATCCTTCCCTCCCTCCATCACTTTTTCCTTCAAAATCCCCTTAAGCAGCGGGACACAATGTGGGCAGATACCTGATTTTGTGTGTCTTGATTTGTAAGTCTACAGCCCCAGATAAGGGCTAGATTTATTTTAGCCATATTATGCTTTTCTCAGTCAACAGTTCATAAAAATTGTCAGGCCAGTATGTACTGTGTTGGCAGACTTGTGATGATGTTCCCTTTGTAGGGGGTATCAATTCCTATGCCCTCCAGGGATGCTTAGGGTGCCTGTCTCTTGCCACCTCACAGCACTAGGTATAGACCAACATTCTGGCCAGAACAAGCCAGTCAGGGTTGGGGTTTTGATATTTATCTTGTTATTATGAGTGAAATTGAGCACTTCTCATATTTTTTTTGAACATTTATGCATATAGAACTGGGGTACAGGCCAGAGGTGTGGTGGGTGAGAGGATTCACCAGAGACAGAGTGGGGAGCAGAACAGGTAGATTGAACACTGCTGAGGGGAGCAGTGGACAGGTCAGGAGAGGTCTGCTGTGCCATGTGGGTCACCTCCCTGACTGGGAATAGAACTCACACTGAAACTGCTGTAGCTAAACTAGCTCCATAGTGCTGCACATTAAGCCATCGCGCCTCCAGGGAGAGCCCACTTCTCATATATTTTTTTTTCAAGATTTATTTATTTGTTCATACAGAACTGGGGTATGGGCCAGAGGTGCAGGGGTAGTGAGAGAATTCACCAGAGACAGAGTGGGCAGTGGAACAGACAGATTGACAAAGTACACTGCTGAGGGGAGCAGCAGGCGGTCAGGAGAGGTCTGCCGCTCCGTGTGGGTCAGCTCCAGGGCTGGGGATAGAACTCGTACTGCAGTGGCTGTGATAGCTTCATAGTGCTGTGCTTTAACCTGTTGTGCCACCAGGGAGGGCCCACTTCTCATATTTTTAAGAACCATTTTATTTCCTTTCTTGAAAAATCTCTGATGCTATTTTCTTCATTTTTCTGTGATATTGACAGTCTTTTACATATGGGTTTGTGATTCCTTATGTATCAGGAGAATCAGCCCTTGGTGTGTGATGGCGCTAGAAGGAGTTCTCCAAACTAGCTTTATAGTTAAAACCTTTGTTTTGTGATTAACCATAAAAAGCTTTTTAAAGATGCTAAATATTTGAATGTCTCTTCTTCAAAAGAACTTCTTACTCGGAGATTATTTGCTACTGACACTTCTGTTTCCTTTTTTTTTTTTAATTTAAATCCTTTAGCTATTGAGAATTCATTTTGTACAGCCTGAGGTTAGGATTCATCTTTGCTTCTTTATTCTAAAAACCATCATTTCCCTCAATGATATGAGATGCCACCATTATCATCTAGTGAGGACCTAGCTTTTCTGGTTCTTGCTTTAGATTTTCTGTTTGGTTTCAAGATATTGTCTACTCATCCCTGTCTAATCACTGCAGAGTCATAATTTCTAACATATATCAGAGAAGCAACCTCCTTTAGTATCCCTCCCCATTATAAAACAATAGCTATCACCTCCCTGTTGGTTCCCATTATCACTGGGTTTGGGTTGGGAAGCAAATCTGTGATTCCCAAGTGGCCACTGAGGGTGGAAAATCTTTCTACACACTGAACTCAGGAGTGTAGAAAAAGCAAAAGCTTTGGAATCACTTTGCTACTTAGTAACAGGTGACTTACCAAGCCTCATGTAGTTGGGGGCAACTAGGTGGCATAGTTGACATGAGATTTACTGTGGAGGAGGGCTTTGGCATGTTGTTCCTGTACCTGTTTTTCTTAACATTCCAACACCAAAATAATCTGAGCTCTAAATATTACCAGAATCCTCATTCTAGCAGAGGCAGGGTCACAGGGTGGGAAGAGCAGACTTGGGAGTAAGACCAGCCGGTGCCCGTAGCCCTTCTGCACTCCGGTCCCGGGAGCACTTACTGCTTGCGCATGCGGCTTTAGTCTCTGCACCTCTCTGTGCCTTCCCACGATGGGAACACTAGTTCTTGTCCTTCTGGGTCTGGTTCTTGTGGGGATTACATGAGACATTAAGTGCTAAGGACTCAGATGGCATCAATAAGTGTCAGTGATGCCAGTAAGCAGAGGGGTGTACAGTGCTTAGCCAGCACCAGCCCATCTGCCTCCAGTCGCAGGCACCTCGAGAAGACACAAGAGTGACTTTGTGTGGGCACCAGTTACTAACCACTGTGGATGAGGAAAAGGAGGGTACCCACCTGTGGGCAGAGCTTTTGCATGACCTGACTGGCATCTGGACTTAGAGACCGAAAGGCATGTGAAAGCACATGCGCCTGGGAGGAACGCTCTCCAGTGCCAGGTTTGAGCTCCAAGAACGGGAGAAAATAGGTCATGCGAGCAAGCAGTCACATCTGAGAAAGATAATAAAAGAGTTTATCAAAAGAGGTGTCTGAGTGTGTGCGAGGGCTCGGCCATCTGGGGCTGGACACAGTGTTCCAAGAATTAGAGCACCAGATACAGAGTTAGAATAACTCGTTATGTTATTGTTATTTCTTGAGACTGTAGACAGACTAATGTCAATATGTTACTGTTTCAGCTTGTTAATGTAGAGTATATTACAGCACACTGGGCAATAAGCTTTTACTGCATGCTGGACATAGCAGTCATTCCTCTGGTTTGTCCTTCACAAGGCGCGCCCCAGGTCCTGGACTCACTAGAGGTCCACACCCAGCCTCCAGTTCCTACCATCACCAGAGGCCCTGTATATCCTCAAACAAGAAAGCCCCTGCTCTCAGAGCCCCCCTGCCCCAGGCATGCCATTCACCCCCTGTGCGCAGCAGGCTCCTTAATGCTCTGCCGTCATCCTTTGTAACTACATGAGGTTTCTCTCTTTCAAAAAGCACAGGGTGCCCCTAGCTAGGTTTTCTTTTGGGAATGAAATTTAACATCAAGTCCCGCCATCCTCCTTCAGTATCTCACTGACCGTGACAGAGATCTTACTGCTGAGGAAGAGACTCTGAAATGGGTGTTTGGAGGCTGTCAACAACAACACCTCTCCCCACCCCTGTGCCCGTCCTCCATCAGTCCTCCCATTGTTTTCAAAACTGATCCCCAAATCTAAATATCAGGAAGCCAGCATGCTTGATAGTGAGGGGCATGGGTGAAGAGACAGAGGCTAGAGCGGGGAGTCTTGCCTGTTATGCTAAAGCATTTGGTTGTGCAAATGTATAGCATAGTTAAGTGGATAATTCAGAAATTTGCTCAGCAGCTGATATAGAGAATGGATTGGAGGGACCAAGCCTGGAAGCAAAGAGGTTACTATTATGGTCCTGCTGAGAAATGGCAGGGCTTTAGGGCCAAAGAGTAAGTAGAAACCAGGAGTTCTTTGAAAATGGAAATCAGTAAAACTTAGATGTTGGGATGAATGGCAGGGCAGAGGTTATAAAAATTGCTTTTGAACTTGAAAGAATGCGTGAGTAGCTTCTCCCCATCTTTCCCCTTTCCCTCACCCCTTAACTAGATTCTGGACTCAACTTAAATGTCACCTTCTCAGAGACCTGACTGGACCACCCTGTCCATAACTGAAAGTCCTCCCCAACTCTGCCATATTATTATCACTCCACCTTGCTTATTTCCTTTATACCACTTCATGACAATTTTGTATTATCTATAGCTTCATGGAGAGGGGGAGGATCAGGTCTGTCTGCTTCATCATTTTTTCTTGTGGCTAGTAGAGAACGTGGCACATCAGGCAGTTAACACATACTGTTGATTGGGTGGATAGATGAGTGGCTGGAGGGATGGAATGGATGGGTAGATGGAAACCGAGTAAGGAGAGACAGCTGAAAGAGTGCATCAGAGCTTCTGGACGCTGCAGGCTGCAGCTCTGTGGGATATCGCTATAATCAGACCCTGACAAAGAAATGAGAGTGCCCAGGCAGGGGTGAAGACAAAAGCCCCCTTGCCAGAGAAGCGTGCAGATTTCTTCCTTCCTTTCCAGACACACTGTATCCGAACCTCTGGGAGCTCTAGAGCTGAGGAATCCGCATGAGTAGTCCGTTCCCAGGTCCTTGCATGCACCTTATGGCAGGAGAGCCCGGCTCTAGAGAAGAGGAGGTGCGTAGTGGTGGGGCAAGAGGACAGGGGCTGAGACGGTGACTTTGGGTGGCCCGGTCTTGGAAGGCTGCAGCGCGCGTAGGCGCCTCCGGGGCAGGTGGTTTGGACCTTTGGCTGCACTTGGCCTCAGCGAAGCTCCGCCCCGCCACGCCCTCCGCTCCGCCTACTCCGCCCCCACAACTCCACTCCCGGATTGGCTGCTACTACGCCCATCCCCCGGCCTTGGCCAATAGGGCCAGGGTGCGGTGGAAGCCGGAAGCCGGAAGCGCAGCGACGGCGGTGGCGACGCGCACTCCCCCTCGGCAGCTGTCGCCCGGCGCCATGCGAGGCCTCGGGCCAAGCCTGAAGGCTCAGCGCCTCTTCCCGCTGCGGCTCCCGCCGCGGCCGTCGCGGCCGCCTGGACCCCGGCTGGCGAGCGGGCGGCCGGCCGGCCGGCGCTCTAGAGCGGGCCATGGACGAGCTGTTGCGCCGCGCCGTGCCCCCCACGCCAGCCTATGAGCTGCGTGAGAAGACGCCGGCGCCCGCCGAAGGCCAGTGCGCAGACTTCGTGAGCTTCTACGGCGGCCTGGCCGAAGCGGCCGAGCGCGCCGAGCTGCTGGGCCGCCTGGCGCAGGGCTTCGGCGTGGACCACGGCCAGGTGGCCGAGCAGAGCGCCGGCGTGCTCCAGCTCCGCCAGCAGCCGCGGGAGATGGCCGTATTGCTGCAGGCCGAGGACCGGCTGCGTTATGCCCTGGTGCCGCGCTACCGTGGCCTCTTCCACCACATCAGCAAGCTGGACGGAGGCGTGCGCTTCCTGGTGCAGCTGCGGGCAGACCTGCTCGAGGCGCAGGCGCTCAAGCTGGTGGAGGGTCCGCACGTCCGGGTAAGGCCCCGCCCGGGCCGCCCCGACCCCTTGACGGCGGGGTCAGCCAGGGCCACGCCCCCATCTTGCCCCAGGGCTTCTGAGGACCCTTTGCAACAATCCTCAGCTGCCCCTCAAGGCCCAAACACTCCCTCTTCCCCAGCCCTATGCTGTGCCCCCTGAATCTACCTTGCTCCAATCCTTATTTGCCACATAGTGTTTACTAGAAACTCGTCACCCGCCAAGTGTGGTCCATGGTTTCTCTTATTTGAGCCAAGAGGTCTCATTTATATGTGATATACTCGAGTGACCTCTGACCTCAGTGTCAGGCAGCCTTCGAAAAACCCAGATGGTGCATAACAGTCCGAAGTCGCATAAAATGCAGAAAGGTTGGAGTCATCAGTGGCCACTGTAGCTGAGTCTGGATGTTCGGGTTTTCTTTGCCAGAGAACTTCAGGTTGAGTTCACTTTCTTGAGTTCAACTTTAAAATGACTCTAAGTTGACTTTTTGAAGTAGCCAGATGCTTAGTACAAGTGAGCTTACGTTGAATGAATACTGTAATATCTAAATTTGATCACTTGAAATATGGCTGATAATTGAATATGATCCCATCGTGCTGTTGGTTTTGAAAATGAAGAAAGGAGTGACTTGCCCATTTAGTGGGGGGAAAAGATGTTTCAGTAAGTTTCAGATAGTAACATTTTTAGGTGCTTAAAAATATTGACCAGTGGGATGATTAAGTCCCAGTTCATGTAAGAACTAACACTGGTATAATCGTTTTTAATGTTCATTGCCTCAGCCTCAGTTGCATAACATACATGTCCCCTTTTACAGTAAAGGAAATTGATAGTGGAGTTGTGTGACTTGACCAAGAACTCAGGCAAATAGTTGTGTTTGATTACCCATCCAAATCCAGTGTTCTTTGCATTATATTTTATGTCCCCATCCTCTGTGTGAATTGTGGTGTTGGTCAGAAACTGCCTTGACTGCTTGGTCCTTAGAATTATAAACATTGGATATAGGTAAAGATGGGGCTTATCTCAGTGGTATCAGTTGTATGACTTGATTGCTCTTGAGTGTTGGTTAACCTTCAAGACATAGAGCATTACATAGCCTTGCCAGTATGCCTTACGGAGGGCCATAATCTGAATTCACCATGGTCCTGGCTCAGGCCCAGTCTGAATGGCTGGTGTGTATGCTCTATACAACTACCTGCATTCCCATCTGATTCCTCTCAGGGTAGACTAGGTTTTTTCCCCTCGCAGTTGGAGCCACGGCTCCATTGATTGATTGTCATTGCACAGCAGGCTTGAGAACGACACAGAATGAGGCCTGTCCCTGAATGAAGCCATGCAGCCAGCACATACATATTCTTTGCATGACTGCTTTGTGCCAGGCATGCCTGGGTGCCAGGGTCACTTGGTCCAAGAGCAGAAGCTTCTGTCTTAGTGTGGGGAGAATTAGTAGCAAGTCTGGTGAGAGCTGAGTGCTTTTCATACCCTTGCTCATTTCATCTCATCCTTTCTTAACCATAAGGAACAGAGAAGGTAGGTGACTAAAGTTTGGCCTGGTCAAGTACAGTTGCCCAGTTTATGGAGCTGGCAAGAGCTGCAATTCAGGTCTAGGCTCGGTGTATTTCATCACTCATTGCCAGCTCTCGAGCTGACAGCTTAACTACATCTAAAACACATTTGTTCCATTATAACTTGTCTTTTTCTGTAAAGTCAGGGGCGAGCTAAAACAACCCAAGTAACTGGTGGCTTCATGTACTTTATTAGTTTCAGTGAGTCAGGTTATTTAATATCCTCTATTTGTGATAGTTTCTCCCTTCCGAGGTGCGATGTGAGCTTCCATCTTAGCACCGGTCTTAGTGCGGTGTGAGCTTCCATCTTAGCACCATCCAGCTCTGGAACACCCCGGGAATCCTCATTTACCTCACATGGCCAGTACCATGGCATTTAGTGTGTCTCCAGTCAGCCATCCTGAGCGACAGTTCCAGCTTATGAATATCCATTACTCATTCCCCTCCACAGACCTTCCTGCCTAGCCAAAATGGCTCTTGGATAGAAAGTTCTTGAACCCAGAGCTAAAAGGGAGGCCCCTTAGAACACAGGCTGTCTCCAGCCCCGCTCGTTCACTCTACTCTGCCCACCACTTTAGCTTCAGGTAGTCCTCCCCAGGTTCCAGCTTCTTGGCACATGTTATTGTCTGCCCCTCACTGAAATTTCATACACTAATCCCAGCATGAACATTGGGAGCGCTTTACTCACCCCCAACCCCCAACTAGATGAACAGAGCGAATGAAGCCCTGAGACAGGCTGGGCTGTCCGAGTGGGTGCACCGGTCATCCCTAGTTGTCTGGGTGTCACACGCTCCACTCAGTTCTGAGCTTGGCAGGAAGCCCAGAGGACTAGGAGGTTTCTGCCTGCCAGGGGAGAGAGTAGACATTGGGTTGCCTCTGGCAGGTGTCACCGTGTGCCTGGGACAGCCGTGCATACAAATACACTACCCGGACTGGCCCCTGCTGACCTTTGGACTTGAAAGAGAAGGTCAAGTGAACACACAGTGCTTCACAGGAGAGTGGCTGTGGACTTGGGCCTGCGCATCCCTCCAGGCCAGTCCGGTCCACGTTACAAGTCCTTGCTGAGTTTTCCAGGGCTCAAATAACGCAAGTGGGAGGCCACAAACGATGTCTTACAGTCCAGGAGCAGCAGGAGCAGAGCAGAAGGGAGGTCAGTCCTGTCTTTGCCATCCAGAGACACTGCTGAATGCCACCCCTTGCTCTGCTTATAACCAAGCCACTTAGCCCCTGGCCAGTGGCTCTGTGCTAGAGCTGAGACTGGTCAGTATGTTGAAGGTCAGCCTGCTTCTCAGAAACGCACCGAGGGATGGGGAAGCTTTGCTGCCCACACAGTTTACTCGTGTGGGCACCATTAGTGAAGACCTTGCTCTTGGGTCAGGGATGGTGATTATCAGAAGCCTGGGAAGAATCCAAGAGCCTCCTATCTTTGTCTTGCGTGCAGCTCTGCATGAAGACCAAAAACGGGTACCCAGATGGGGCTGATGTGCTTGCCTTTGATGTTTTTAGTCAGATAAGGCTTTCTTTTCTCTCTGGTAGAGCATGCTTAATCCTTGTTTAGAGTCAGCAACTAGTCTTTTTGCCGAGAAAGACACAAGTGCTTCATTGAAGAAGGTTTTACAGACTGGCAGAAGTCAACGATCTGTGCTGTTTCTCAAGGTAGCAGGCCTCACGTGTGAGAATGATGGGTATTTGCCCATGGTGAGTTCAAAGGTCAACAGAAGCCTAAGTGTGTTAGAGCCCTGCCTTAGGCTTCTGCATCCCCACTGAGTGTCTATTCAAATGGTATGGGCCTCCTGGTGTCATTTTCAGAATTCTGAATTACTTTAAGGAAATTGACCTTGGCATTTATTCTCAAGAAGGAATTTTAACTGTCAACGTAATTAAGGAATTTGTCGAAATGGCATTGGTCAATCTCTCCACCTTCTGTGATTACAAACGCCCATTTTTAAACAGTCCTGTTGGTTACCAGATACAATGTTTTTGTTGCAAAACATGTTCTTTTCCTTGATCAAAGTTCCAAGTGAGTGAAGAGGC